AAAAAAAAAAAGAACAGCCTAAGACCGGTGTCTGAGCCCTCCTCCTCTTTGCTCTAAGCAGCTTGCTCATGAAAGATATTTCCCACAGGAATTAAGTTTTGTTGTGCTCTCAGCTTGATAGAGCTACCGCTGGTCCTTGAAATACATGATTGATTCTTTACAGGACTGTTAAGTGCCTTCACTTTCCTTGGACTGATGCCTGTGGGAGGAAGGGAGTATTTTGCTGTGGAGAGCTGATTGCCTGTTTGATTCTAGTGGCTTACAGACAATAGCACTGAGGATTCATCCATTTCTCCTGTTCCTGGGAACCCGGAGAGGCTTTTTTTTTTTTTTTTTTTTTTTGTAATTCACTCGCTTTATGTATTTCGGCTGGGGGCTCTGCAAATAGGCTTGTCTCCGGGCCACTGATGTGGCTACTGCTGAGATGCCGGCACCTCCAAACCTGACCTCGTGCTTTGTGCTCAGAACCCCCTCACTTCTCCCACCCGCACCAGGGATGGGGACCCAGTGTGCTGGCGTGGGCTGCGGCTTCCTCCCTGCACCTATCGATCCTTCCTCCTGGCTGCTCAGTTGCTTCCAAGGCTGTGGCTTTCTGTGCTCAGGCTTTCGCATTCAGCTTCTGCTGGGCTTCTAGCAGTCGGTCTGTTATCAGTCAGCTCCTGCAGCGATCCCACCAGATAGCCAGCACAGCACCAAAGCACGCGGCGAAGCAAAGTCCACCTTATCTCCATTTAAGCTCATGGTTTTCTCCTTGCATCTCTCATCATAGCTGCCTGCGCTGCTGCTTGGGATGAGTATTTACAGAAATGTGCCAGCTGAATTGCCTGCCGTTCCTAGCATCCCTCTGTGATAGGGGAGGAAAAACCCAGCAGTCAGCTTGGATGGGCTCTTGTCCAGCCCTCCCAGTTCAAGGGGCTGAAGTCCAGGGCGGGGGCTCAATCTGAGGTTCCCCAGCTTGAGATTTTTTTTGACTGGCACCAGAAGTGTTACTCCAGAGATGTGTGCACAGTGCACACCTGCAGGTGTGTGCACACAGGCTGTTCCTCTCATGAAATATTGAAGGAACTTGTGTGTTCACGTTAGATGAGATCTACATAAATCCCATTGTTTTATGCAGCCATTCTTAATGCTCTATCATAGGATCTGGGTGGCAGACCTGCATGTGCACATTTGTGCTAGGAACCTGTCTTGCTTGCTGTTTATTTTCCTATGGCTGTATGTAGAGGTTAGAAACGGGTTAAGACTGGTTCTAGCCATGTGAGATAGTTTTGTGATTAATGACCATCTAAAACTTTTAATTTATCTCCTGTACAACCTTAAAACTTAAAATGAAAAATAATTGCTGAGCAGAGTAATTATTAGCTCTCACTGAGATCCTTAAATAATTTTACACCTTCTACCATCTTCTGTTTTAGGCACTAGCTGCTAAAGGAATTGATTCAATGTCACTTAGTTCATTGGAAATGTCACCTTTAGCATCCAAAAATGCCAAAGAAAGAAGAAGTAGGCGAAAGAAAAAGAAAACTTTGGGGGCAGAAGAGTATGCGGAAGACCAAAGGAATCCCAAGTGTGACTACGAAGATGGTCAGAGGAGAATGGTAAGCCATAGTATGAAACATCACTTATTTCACACTGCACTTTGCTGGATAGGCCAGGGTATGAACAGGCAATTAAAGCTGAAACTTTCAGCTGTAAAGACTCATCATATATGTAATAATTGACCTGCAGGTAGTCTGCATTAGAACAGTGGAAGGAAACATATTACCACTTTATTTTCAAAATGAATTAAAAATGCCCATTAAACATTCTTAGGAATCTATTTTGGTTTACCTTTTTTTTTTTTTTTTTTTTGCTTCAAGATTACCCACAGCCTGGTTTATTTTCTTACTTTAATTTCATTCATCTGATAATATCTATCCTATCCCTGCTGGAGATAAAAAATTCTTAGAAGAAACCTGCAAAGCTTAAAAAGAAGAGAGAGAAGGAGAAAAGGAGGAAACTTGTCTCTGAGGGCTTTTTTACATGCTGTACAAAGATGTTATTAACATTTGTATATTCCTTTGCTAGTTGCCTTCAAGTCAAAATTTTGTGGCACTTGTTTCTACTTTCTATTGCAAGGAAACAAATACAGTGAGACTGTTGTTAAACAGGGTTTTACATAAATGTTACTGACATGCATGAATATGAATTTGCACATGCTGTTTTAATCAAATGATCATAAACAGCTTCAGATAATTTGTCTTTGCTTAACTGAGGGCAAAGTTTAAATCAGTTTATTTTGGTTTTTTCAACAGCCGTGTAATGGGCTAAGTCTTTTTATATTTTGTTGTCAGTGAATTTAGGGATATTTGGCAGCCATAAAAAGCTCATAGAAAACATATAAGTGATGTAAGTAAATGTGACCAATTAATGACTCCCCAGCTCATAAAATTTACACAGAGCTGGACTTCTGTAAATGACATGCATTTTGTATTCTAATGGTTTTTGTTGTTGTCTCATTGGTTGAGTGGGTCGCGTTACAAATGACACCTTTGTTAACGCTAGAATTGCTCTTTAGCTTCATTCTGGATGGGTTTCAAGACACCACGTACCAGAATGACTGTGGATTGGAGCTGTGCATTGCCAGTTTGTTTCTTAGATTAATATTTCTTGTTTTCACTTTTCGCCCCTGGATGTCATATGCATGTGAAACATGGGAGACACATTTCAAGATGTAAATCTTCTCTGCAAGGCGCATCTGGCATGGTTGGAGGGAGTAAGGCTGAGTCATCACTCAGATGCAATCTGAGCAGCTGGAAGTGTGTTGCCATCAGAAATCAGTCTCAATGACTGTGCCATGGAAACCCAGGCATGGATATTTTACCAGTTAAAATTTGGTAGCAATACAAATGGGTTGTTTTTAGTTAGAAGGGGCCTTGTTTTTGTACTCTTCCTTGTACCAGTGTCACAAAATAGCATCATTACGTAACTCAGTGGTGTGAGCTACAGTGTGAAATCAAATCAGGCTTCATTTGGTTTGTCTGGTTTGTGAATGCTGTGGAGATCTGACCTCTCTTCATATATACTTGGCTCATGAGAAAGTTCTGAAGAAGCTGAAAATTCTGTACAGGCCATAAAATCAAAAGTATGTTCTGCCTAAATGCTCTTATTCCAATAATTTCCTCTTCAGATACAAGGGAAGGGGATAGACTTCAATTCCTTATGCATTTTCTGAACATCCTTTTTACTCTGCCAGGGTTTAGGTGTGTTTAGTGCTTGGCTACATCTTGCTGATGCTCTGTCAGAGTTGCACTCTCACTAGCTGATGTCAGAGTGGATCATCAAGGCTGATATTTGGGTGTGAGGGAGACTGCTGTGTACTGAGGTTACCTACCCACTGAAGTAGCCATGTGCATTTGGATAATCATTCTACAAACTAATAAATCATATCCCTCTTCTTGCTCTTGTTTTTTTTTCCTTTATCACCTTCTTCCGTCGTATTCTGCTTCTTCTTCTTCCCTCTTCTCATTTTCCCTGCAGTTCATTTCCTGCCCTATTTCTTTATCTCTTCTTCTCCCACTGCAACATTCCTTCCCTAGCTGTTATGAAGATATGTGACAATGTGGTAAACTGCAGCTGGATCCCCTACCCTGCTCCTGTCTTCCACTCCTTGAGCTGCCTTCCCAGGTCCTTTGGCACTTATCAGACAGGGGCTAGTAGAAGCAAAGGAAGTATCATGCTATGAGGGGAATGCCACCTTGACCCTTCCTATTTCAGTTCATCTTTAACTGTCAAGTATTAGACAAATACCTAATGGCTAGGAATGACTATTCAACCTCTTAACTTTGCAAAGGTTGTATACGTGTAATTAAGGCTTTCTCTGAAGCACTTGGTTTAAAATGGAACTTACTGCTCTCCCCAGACCTTCCTCGCTCCTGAAAACATGTTGCAAAATGTTGTTTCTCTTTCCCCTTTTTCCTTTCTGGGGGTTTCTAGACTCTCCTTGGCATTAGTTATGGTCCCAGTGCAAACTTGGTGAAGCGCAGAACCAGCCACGGAAGCATATTCAGTTTCCGACTCCGTGGCAGAGACACTGGCTCCGAAACAGATTTTGCCGATGATGAGATCAGCACTGCTGGGGAAAATGAAAGCCACCGGGGCTCTCTCTTAATTCCAAGATCTGGGAGGCGTCCGAGCGTGCAAAGTCAAGTGAGCCATAGTTCTCACCCTACTACTCCCAACTACACCCAGACGGGCAAAAGGAACAGCTCAGTGGATTGCAATGGTGTGGTTTCCCTGATAGGAGGAGGCACCGGGGCACTCAACCCAGACCCTACTTCTCCTGCAGGGTTACTGCTCCCCCCAGTTATTATGGAAAAACCTGGGACAGGCGACCTGGTGAGTACTTTACAACTTTTGTATGTGATTCACGCTCTTGTTTCCTTCTAAATGTTGTTGGAATTTGCTGTAATTGATTTACGCCATACGCAGTCTTCAGTGAGAAACCCAGACCTAGCATCCGAGGTAGGGTGGGAAGACAACGGGCTAAGTCCCACAGCAGCGCGTGTCTAGTGCTGCATAAGAGAGGTTCATGACTTCTGGTGAGACTTACTCTTCAGAGCTGACTGGAGGCAAATACCTAAATCTTGGGTTTGATACGAACTTTCTTTTCTTGTAGGGACATTTTTAAACTTGGTTTCTTTTGACATTTGAATATCTGACATTGTCTGGTGGCTAGAAAATGATGTTTTTAAAATGATTTGGTGTGAGTGTTACCATCTTGAGACTGCGTTTTCTCCCACTGGTTGCTATCATTTGCATCTAACCTCTCGTCTTCTGTATAGCTACTTGTGGACAGCTGTTCTTACAGTCCAAAGGTAGTTCCCAGAAGGGTTTAGCATCCAGTTCAGATAACACCGAGGAAAGATGGGTAGATGATCAACAGACTTCAAGCCTTTTGCAGATTGCCAAGATCTTTGTTGCAAAACACCACTGCTGCAAAATACTCAATAAGGCTGTAAATAAAACTATTAAGACTGATACCATTAGGACCCAAACATGAATTCACTTGAAAAACCATGAGATGGTGTTTTGGAAATAGGTGCTATGCAGGCAGGACAATTTGGACAGGTTACCAGTTTGATATGATGGGAATTTATCTCTTTTAATGTAGATAATCTACATCGGAGCTCATTACTCTCAACATTCTTTAAAGCAACAGAGGTCTAGTTAGTACGGTCAGTGTGGGCAGAATTTATTTCATCTTAGAGATCTGAAATGGGTCAGAATAGCCTCTCTCCCTAAAAGTGCCTCTTTCTGTTCACCTTAACTACAAGGGGAGCCCAAGATGAATAACTCTGTAACGCACATATCTTAAGTCAGGTGAGATGCAACCCACTCAGAGTAACAAGGTGCCAAAAATGGGTTAGATTGCTGGGGAAATAAGCATATGTGATTCTAACATGTATTAGGCAAGGTATTTCCTGAAGAGAAAGGCGAGTGAGATGGATCCCAGCTGTGGTGTCAGATTATCAGTAAATTGAGAAGTAGCTTTTTTTTTTTTTCTCTAGAGCCAGGCAGCTTCTTCCCTTTCAAGCTTTGGATTTAATTTTTTTCCTCACCTATCCAGGCATTCCCTGTAGTCCTGCAAATAGTCTCTCACACTGTACGTGAGAGGAGGGGCTGTGCTGCGCGTGGGAAGCTGGGTGGTGTGAGAATTATCTGTTTTGTTGACAGTTTTGAGTCTGTTGCTGCTTTTTCAGATGTTCACACCTTCATTCATTTAGGACTTTGATTCTTCCATTTTTACTCTCTGCAGACGAGGAACACCAATCCTAAGAGCAGTCTCTAGATAGTTGAGCAACAGAAACATTATTTGTAGATAGCGGAGTTTTGTTGGACTTAGCTTGATGCAAAAAAAATCTGTGCATTAAAGGAACTGTGAAAAAATGAGTTTGTGCATCTGTTTAAAAAAAAAAATCTGAACCAACGTAGAAAGGCTTTAGTAGATGAGCAGTGGATGTCCCCCTTTTCTCTGTAAGGAAAGCAGATCTGCGGGCTGCTGAGGCTCTCCCAGCTGTCAGAAAAAGCTTGACAAAGCATGAGACCACTCAAGCTTTCACAGGAAATATTGGTATTTTACAGGATAGGGCCCTGAAGTGACAGGGAGGCTTTGAGCTCTGCTGGCATTTCTTTTCATTTGCCAGCTTCCTGCCTTTTAAAAAAAAGGATGTTGAAAATTAAATGGCCTGGTTGGGTGAGCTCACTTGGCAGTTCCCTGGTCATCTAGGAAATAGCACCCAGGCACTATAGTAACAGATGCTCATTCAGTGATGCAATGTGAAGGATGTTGTGTCTTCTGCAAAACAGGTTTGGTATCTAATCTATCCAGAAAATGTGAGCTGGAGTTAAAAGCTAATTGGCAAGAAGCCCATTGCTGTACAGATGTATTCACTACAGGAACCGTAAGCACTGGGCACAAACGTGCAGCCTCAGCTGTGGAGCACAGGCAAAAGGGAATAGCAAATCCAATACCTCAGCGTGCTCAGAGATAAATCAACATGCTTCTGGGCTTTGTGCTTGATTATTTTCACCTTTTTCTTGTCAAAATTTGAAGTTGAGTTTGTTCTTTGTTGGCAGTTCTGGCTTCTTTTTATAGTCTCTTTATATGTTTGGGGGAGGCAAAAAAAAGATGCTGCAGGGTGAAGTTGAAGTTACCTCATTAACCCCACTGACCCTGCTGTTGCTATTTATTTTGTACGAGTGTATGCCCATGGTGAAAAAGGACCCACTTGTGCTATCTGTTTTATCTTCCCTGAACAAGAAACAAAGGACCAGTCCATGAAAAGGCATCACTGTAATATGCGTTAAGCCCTGACTTGCAGCTTCCTGAGGTGTAAGTGTGGCTTCACTGATGTAAATGCAACATCTGAGGTGATGGAGCTGGCAAAACATGTTTTACAGCATTAGGTTTTGAAGACACATTGGTTTAGGTCTCTCTGTGATGCTCAGTAGCATCAGATGAGCATAACACAGACCTGCCTGGTTGCTACTGAGCGGGCAGACCACGGAATTCTGGTTTGTGGAAAGCTTGGAAAAGTCCTTCTGATTTAAAAGAAAGAATAAACATCAAAAAAGATCTGACCGTCTCTGGTTTTGAGTTTCCAACCTGCAGCCTTTAAGCAGACTGTAGCTTCAGCAGATGATTTCAAACTGGGCCATCCTAAGGTTTCTCAGGAAAAGCACAAGAAGTCACTAGCCACTTTTGAGAATTTTAGCCTGATCAATTTGAGCAACATTCAACCTGAAATTATTACCCCCAGCAAAGCAGTTGGGACCATGATGAACGGCTTTCATGCCGTTGTGTCGTTGCAACTGCTGCCCCGTCCCACCAAAGGGCTGTTTGCCCATGGGAATGGCTGCGGGTGGCAGCTGAGCTGACATGAAGGTATCCATGCTGCTTGTTCCCTTTCCCGTGAGAGAGTCGGCTGCAGCAGATTATCCCACTATTTGGGCCAGTGAATCTGAAGAGTGGTCTCTTGACACTTAGCTGAAGAAGAGCATATAAGCTAAAAAAGCCAGTTTCAAATCCTCTTCATATGGCTCTGGCTGCTTGGCGTGGACAGTTGTGAGTGTGCTTCTGTGAGAAACCAAGCGTGCTTCCACTTTCCCTCTCCTCCCCCTAGTCCCTAAATACAGCTAGTGAAACAGGAGAGGTTTCAAATAATATCAATGGATGGTGCTTAGGCCCATCAGTCTTGTCATTTGGGGTAGTCTGACTGGTCAGCAGGCTCGCTGGCTGTGGAGAGCATGGTCCATGCAGAATGGCATCCGCCAGTGCAGTCACCAGGGGCTTCAGTGCACAGCCTGAGCAAGAGGAGGGACATCCTCTCTGCTGCAGGAATCCCATGTGTCTCTGCACACTTTGCTATGCCCGTTGATGTTCCCATTCCACATAAATTGTCCAAAAAAGTTTTTTTTAATTAAAAAAAAAAAAAAAAAAAGACCTTGGCTTTTGTTCTCGCTAGGCTGTTTTTCTGACCACATTGATTTGAGGTTTTCTTGTCGACCCTAAAACCGCCTCAAGGTAAAATTTCTTTTTTCCCTTTCTTGCTTTGCCATGGGACTGGTGAAAAGGCAAGGTGTCAGCAGTTCCCATGTTCAGAAAAAGGTCAACAAAACAAGTCATCAAAAAATCACCGCCAATATGTCATTTGGACGAAAGCTAGCTAGCTCTCTGCCACTGTCACACAGAGAGTTGTCACTATGGCTCTAGTTTCTGCTCTTTTCAAACTTTGCTTTAGCACATCCTAAGCATAAATCGTTCAGATTTGACCCAAATATTGCAAGCTGTTTCAGCTTACAGTGTATCTCTTTAAATAATCAAATATCCACAAAATTAAATGCCTTCTTTTTAATGCTGTGCGCTATTATGGTCACCTTCAATCTCATGAAATATTTGTGCTAGTGCCTTACTGGCTCCATTGTTCATGGTGTGGCCTGTCCACCTCTTTTTATGCTTGAAAAGATTTTTACTGTACAAGGAAAATTAAACCTGTCCCAGTTCCCAAATGTGGTCTTTAAAATGCTGCCATGTATAAGCCCATCTTCACATAATAGTTTTGACATAACTCAGAACTGTAGGCACTCAGAAGAAAATAATTCTTCAATGTTATGCATCCTCATTTACATGTAAATTACCGAATAGTACACTTGTCCCTATAGAATTTAGCTAATCCAAAGGAGAAGCATTTTCAGTCAGTCGGGGAGCAACACAAATAATCTTGTCCTGCTGGAGGTGCCTGTGTTTAACTCCATTGTGATTTCTCATCTGGATCCTAAGGAGACTTCCTGCATAACTGTAGGGACTGTTGTTATTTTTGCCTAATTTCTATAGAAATGTAAGTACGATGAACAACCGTGCCTGTGTATATTCTCTCTCTATTGATAATAGCCTTTATGCTTCCTCGTCTGTCCAGTTCCTGGAACTGCTCGCTATCTCAAAGTGCAAAACCTGCCAGTTGCATGACTATTAGCTGACTCTGTTCTAAAACAAATAATAAAAAATCCCTTCACATATCTATTCTTTACAAAAAAACAAAAGTCCGTAAACTTCCCTTAGTAACTTCAATAATTTTAAACAATTCACCTGGATGGAAACTTTCTTTCCCAGAAAAATACTTTATAGTAAATTGCAGGCTGACCATGTGATAGATTTACTGTTCTCTTGGTAAAGAGCCCACATCCTCGTGCAAGAGCGCCGGAGTATTCCTTACACCCTGACGTTGCCTGCCAGACAGTGTCCTGGCTGCAGGGATGAAGCTCCGCTGCGTGCCCGCTGCCGAGCGGCTGGCAGGGAGCAGCGGGCTTCAGGCTCTGCCCGCCGGTGGGGGCACAAGCACTTGGGCAGCTCTCACGCAGAGCAGCGTTTGCTCTGAACGCAGGCCAGCAGCAAGTTGCACCGCCTTGCCCCTGCAGAAATGAAGGAAAGGAGGAGCCATGCACGTGTCTCCTTCAGAAATACCCCTTTGCACGCAGAGGACGGCACACTGCAAACAGTCCCCTTGACTCCAGCAGGGCTCCTGAAGTCTTGGAGACCGCTCCTCGTGACACAGGCACAGGATTGAGGATGCTGGACTGCAAAGAAAAATAAAGTGACTTTAAAAAACTTTCTGGGTTGGGAATCTCATATCAAACCTAGGGAAAAGGTCAGCTCCCTGCTATTTCTTTTTGTGAAGGATATGCCAAACCTGTTTAACTTGGACTTTCCATTTACCCTGGTTTAGCTGAATCAAAAAACCAGGAAGAATGAATCTCTGAATGTTTTTCCTTCCCCTTTTTACCTCTGCAGTGAATTCTCTTTGCACCTGTGAGTAAAAGGTGACTTTCAGATAAAGGCCACCAACGCATAACTTCTGCAAGCACTTTTGCATGCATGAATAGGAATATAGTATCTTTCTTGACAGTCAGAAAACTGGTGCTTCCGGGGATGAGGTTGTCTAAAGCCATGCTATACTGGTATGTCCTAGGCTTTGGGACAGATGGGATGGGAAGATGGTACAGTTTAAAAAGAATTAAATGATCCAGGGGAATCTGAAATTTGATGTTTTCTTATGGTTCATTCTGTAGACAAAGGCAACTGGAAGAGCTGGGGTTTTATTTGGCTTCTTTTTCCTTTTCTTTTTTTTTTTTTCCTTTTACTTTTTAGTTTATTCTACTTAGATATTTGTCTCCCTCATGTTTTTTATCTCCTTGTCTAGTTATTTTTCAGTCCCATATATGCATTATGTACTCCAAACTGGTGCAAATGATTATGCAATTTTGTAGATGCTTTCTTTGTTAACAAAACATTTGTTGTTTCTTTGGTTTTTATTGGATGTTTTTGAGGTGAAGGGAATCAAGCGAATTAATGCATCTGAAATACTGTTCCTGGTTTCCCCAGCTCCTATGCCAAGGATAGAGTGTTTTCTTGTTATATTGTGCACAAGTAGGAGTCTCTTTGAATAGGTTCTGATTACACCTCTCCTTTTGAGATGACTGCGTCACTAACTCAATGGACAATGAGCCAATTGTTTTAACAAAAAAGAACATTTTATTTAAAAAAAAAAAAAGCCATTTTGAAGCATTACTGCTTTCCTGGCTTAGCAAATGTTTTAAGTGCTTGGTTTCAAAGTCCTTACTGTTCTCTGGTCTTGCAGTGATTGGTATTTTTAACCGCAGTATTTTGAAGTGACCTGGGACCAGTATCCTGGCTATTTTCAGTGTCAGCAAGTGGCCAAGTGGCTCTGTCCTTTGCAACCACCTGACAAGGTGATGTCCCTTGCCCTGAAGAGGTCACACTCCAGAAAGACAGCTCATAGAGCTTCAGTGCTTTTCTCCTGCCATTCTCATGGAATTGCCTTTCTTGAAGAGCAGTTTTGATAGAGAAATGGCCAAGAGGAGGGATCCTGAGTCCCTCTGGGTGCACGTCCCAGGCACAGACAGCAGAGCTGCAAAGCTGCTGCCCATGGCAGGTCTCGGTTGGCATCCTGGGTGCTGCTTGGGGTGGTTAGGGCCATTTCACACCCAAGTGATGAGAGAAGATCCAGAAGACTGAATCCAATTCCTGTAGCTCGTTTGACTGTGGAGAAGCAAAAGCAGCTACTCTGACATCTGTATAAACCAGAGGTTTCCATCTTCATAGGAATCTCTTCTCCTTCCACATTTCCTTGAGCTATATTGCAAGAGCCATCAGGACCCGTCTATCTACAGTGCATCTCTCTTGCTTACATAGCGTCTTGGAGCTCACAGTCTGTATGCTTGGAGGAGCAGTACGGAGGCTCTTAACAAATTTATTTTGGGAGACTGAGTGTCTTGACTGGGAGGTCTGAGACAGAGAACCATGCTGAACTTGGCATTCCCGGGTTCTTACACATTAACCACCATGTTTCCTTCTACCTGTGGGAGAGCTGGAGGAGTAAAGCAAGCAGGATTTGTCTCTGTATGAAGTGAGAGCTTGTAATAATAAAAGACTTAATATTTTGCTCCCGTGCGCTGACAATATAAAGTATTTAATATAGTGTTTGTCTGCAGCTATACTGTGTTTCTGGCTGACTTCCGAAACCCAAGCCCTCAAAAAGCATAAAACTAATTTAAAATGAAACATTAAATAAAGACAGTTTGGGAGTTCTGTTTTTCTGGTATTTTATTTCTTTGGGTTTTTTTTTTAAGCTTTTACTTGAGAAACATGAGAACTAGATAGTTTGGGTTATTTTTTATTTTTCCTGAGAAAAAAGAAGCTGAGATTCTCCCCTAATTATGGAGCTTCAGAATCTGTGACACCAAAGATCACCAGAATGACAATATGTTCCTGAGATTTGGCAGTGTTTCAGAGCAAGAAAAAACATGTGTTGAGGAGTCAGTTTGCTTGGTGTGATATCAGAGGCCTGTAATGGAGCTGTTACCCATGCCCCTTTTCTTCTTCTAGCAGTATAATTAAACAGTTAACACATTTCAGAAATAATAGAATAATTGATGTAATTAAGCAGGGCTTCTTTCACAAGCAAAGAGCATGGTAAAGCAGCACTGCTGTTTCTCTGGCATCAGAAGCGTCCCTTTATTTTCACCTGCATCTTTCACCTATTTACATGAAGGCAAAGGGCGGGGCAAAGTTTCCAAAATTGCTCCAAGTACCATTTTCAAAAACAGTACCCCATCAGCATGTGTCTAATTGGGAAATCAGAGAGCTTTGGACTTCTCAGATGGGAAAAACAGCACTTAGGCAATTTTGAAAATGCTACCCCAGGTCTGCCTTGTTTTTATTCTGCTGATCCAATGTGTTCATTTAAGCAGACCTCTCCCTCGGACGAGGCAAGCAAGAAGCAACTTTTAATGCCGCACCGCCCATCAGTGGACCACTCGGACGAACCCTTTCAGAGGCAGAGGGCAGTGAGTGCTGTCAGCATCATCACCAGTGCCCTGGAAGGTAAGACACATCTTTAGTTCCCCAACTCAAAGCCATATGCATGTTGACTGGCAGGAAAAAAGTGACACAACAGACCGTAATATTAAACTCTTGTTGTTTTGCAAGAAGGCGTTATAGATAGTTATTGCAACCCCTACAGTGTAGGTGAAGCTGTAACAGGAGGCAATATAATCACTAGCTTATCCATGGACTTGTAAAACTCCTGGCAAAATCCTGGCCATCAAAGTCAGATCTGCTAACATTTTGTGCCCCCATGGCATTTAATTTACACAGGGTTAACCAAGATGCAGGGTAGTGTAGCACCACACTGTTTGGGTGACTGCACATACCTTCATATCGCATCTCTCTGGAGCTGATACGAAGCCTGGCATGTGCAGTCACCAGCTACGTGCAGAACTTCCTAGCGGAGGAGGAAAGCCTCCTCTTTGCAGAGCAGCTAGTGGGACACAACAGTTTGGTGGGTGTTTGAATCCCACTGTGAAGTTTAAGGATGCTCAAAGGACCCATTTGTCCATGCAAATATTTCTCAGCAAATTTTTCCATTGCTCATTAGGCTTCTCATTAGGTGCATTAGGAGGATTTCCCTTCCCCGTCTTTCCATACACAGGAACTTTGCATTTGCAAGACAACAACTCATAGCAAGACATCACCTCATAGCAAGACATCACATTTCTAGGCTCTGTACATGCAGTGTGAAAGGGCTTCTTACAGTTCCTTGTGTCTCCTACATTGTAAATTGAGACAAGATAGGAGGTGGCAACTAAGACTATACAAAAAGGTCTGTCAAAAACGCAGTGTGGAGGAAGGGAAATTCTGGATTCTCCTGCAGCCTTATTCTCTGTTACTGACGAATAGGAAGGCAAGGCAAGACGGAGGGACTTATCTGGGAGATGCCTTACAGAAAGGGACTGGACCTAGCTCTTTGGAGGCAGCCCAGCATGAAACCACAAAGCCCTTCTTCTTCCTCAGCTTTTTACCATCCCCTGTGGTTATATTCAGCAGTATTGTAGCCAGAACAGATATATATATGTTTAGATGAATAGAGTTGTATTCTTAATAAGTAAATAATCACTTCAGTGTATTCCGGTGTTTACTGAAGTCTGCAAAGGTTTTATTTCTTTTCTGTGGGGTTTTTGTGCCAAACCGTGTGAAACAGCCAGACCAGAAATCCCTTCCTGTTTAGTTACCTGGTTTCTGCTCTTGGCTCTTGGGTAGTCATCATCTGCCTGTTTTTCCCAAAGCCTTGCAGGCAAGGAGGAAGCCAGCGATTTTTCATTTAAAAATAAGGGGAAAAATACCTCTAACACAAACTTTGACTGTGTTTTTCTGACCTTTTTTTTTAAACAATACAAAGTAGCAGAAAAAAAGGAGTTGAGTAATTTTACCTTTCCTTTTGCAGATGTCTTTAAAAAACTATTAAATCTGTTGTGATTTCTAAAGGTCATCCATTGTGGGCAAAGGATGTGGGTTCTTGATTGATTTAAACCATTTTAATGCCACATCACTGCCAAAAGAGGACAGTCACACCCTTCTCCTCCCCTTGCTGTGTTCCTGCAGTTTGACTTGACTGTACAAGCTATTGGTTTTCAGCTGGATCAGCTTACCCAGGAAGGTCCAGGAGCACAAAAGCTGGCAAAAGGACAGAGAAATAACATGTGGCTGAGAGGGATGAAACTACCCCTTTCAGCAGCAACCAGGACTTAAAGGGGCTCGTGTCGAGTGTGGAGCCTCAGAGAAAAGAGTCACATATCTGATGTGTGTCCATCATGAAGGTCCCAAAATTAGTAACAGTGGAATAAGCAGGGTTGGTTAGAAGCGATTATGAGGAGTATGGATATAGACAGATGTGTTCTTCTGGATTTACCTGAAAAATCAGGTCCTTTAGGAAGTGACTGCCCCGAAGTCTTTATTACTTTGAGGTGGGATTCCAGAAAAATGCAAAATTAGGATTTTGCATTGAAATTGTTTGGGGTACAGATGGTTCTCACATCATTTTAGGTGCTTACCTGTAAATCCTCTCTTTGGAGGCTGGAAAGACATAGTTATTTTTTGGGAGTAATTTGGTTTCCCAGAGATCTCAGAGCAGTGTAGATGTTTGTGCAAAACCTGTGCATGGAAGACATCATCCAATATTTCGAAAGCTTGCCAGAAGACACCTAATACCGCAGTTCCGTTGTCCAATGAAGGAAAATGCACAGAGAATGCATCCTGGCTTGAGAGAGAAGGCTGTTTATAAACTGATTGAAATAACAGCCTTGGCTGAAGTTTTCCTGTTATCAGTGCAGGTTCTAATTATACAGACTAAAACCGTTATGCAGCATTCCATGCCCATAAAGGAATCAGAAAAGGAAAGCATTAAGTAATTCCGCTAATCATTATCATTCAGCCATTAACTATCTTTTCTTTTTCACTGTTTAACACAGATTATACTTATGAAGCTATTTCACTTCTTTTGTGCTCAAATAAAAAGAACACATAAAAGTTGTATTTTAGCTAATATTTCAAAAGCACCTTTAAAAAGCACACTAGAACTTCAGCAGCATTTTCAAACTGACTTATGCACTCCCCTGATTTTGTATGTGGGCCTTTCAGAAGAAAACAGATGTTTAATGTCTTTTTGGATCCCACATTAAGAACAGAAACCCTATTGATAATCAGTGATACTCTGGCTCTCAAGCGCTTAAATCAGCCCTAAATGTTGGATTTAAGCGCTTTCATCTCTTAACTGCTTTAAAAGATATTACTTAAGATACTTCTAAAATGAGACCTGGGCATGAAAAAAATGTATTCCAATCTAAGTTAAATGAAGATAGTGTATTCTTATCCATTTGAACTTGGCAAAATGGAAAACAGAGTAAGAATCTGAGCCTATATATAATACTAGGCTTTACATATTTAGTGTGATTCTCCGTTTTTGCTTGTGACACTTTTAAAAGGTTATTACTTTCAGAATAGGTCACAGTCTGCTAAGTGCAGGTCAACTGGCAAAAAACCCAAAGTGCATAATTTGCCAGCCTGTTAGGACAGTAATATTTTTATCCTAAAAAAAAGTTTGGGGTAATTCAGGGGCCTTCCTCTATGTTATGAGTCATTTTAAGTGTTCTCGTGTCATATAACTCAGTGTGAATTGACTGTTACTTTACTGCTTGTGACTTAGAGCTTGAGGAATCACACCAGAAATGTCCTCCCTGCTGGAACCACTTTGCTGTTAAATTTCTCATTTGGGATTGCTGCCCACTTTGGCTTTTAATCAAGAAATTTGTCAAGTTTGTGGTAATGGACCCATTTACCGACCTCACCATCACCCTTTGCATTGTGCTGAACACGCTCTTCATGGCCTTGGAGCATTATAAGATGACGAAGGAGTTTGACCATATGCTTTACATAGGCAATTTGGTAAGTGAACATGAACTTGAAGTGCTTCCTGAGGAGTCTATTTCCTGCTTTTTAAAGTCTTGGCTGTGGCTTAGGAAGACCCCATTTTGAAATGCTGTCAGCACCACTTTGCCTATGACATGTCAAGAGTCCACGTAGTCACTTCTTTCTGGGGGTGAAGAGAAGTGAATGAAGGACAAGGGTCTATTTTTATTAAACTAACTTTTTCTAATGTTATTAGTAACCATTAAAGCCGTGTTTCTACGCTGTTACTGGTAGGTTTCAAGGTTATATTAGTTTAAGAAAATGAGATAAGAGAAAGGTTAATGAGGTTTATTTGGGATTTCTTTTAAAGCAATGATAAGGCATCAGTTCTTGGCAATAGTGACTTTTAAGTTAAAAAAAAATACAGAAAAAAACAACGCAATCTCTTGGAGGGAAATAGGCTGGTGTTTGGGCATATCCAGATATGTATGTGGGAAGGTGCCTATGGTACATTTGCTGTATGTCCCTTTATGTCCTGCTATGCCTCCCTGCCTTGTCCAGCTGTGTATGCTGGGTCCCATGCAAACCCCAGGGTGGAGGGGACATGGAGCACCGCATGGCTGATGCTGCGAGGGGAAGCTCTTAATGTGCAAGCTGGAGCAGCCAGAGAGAGGGTTGCAAAGTAAGCAGAGACTGCACTTCTCTGAGGAAAAGCAGAGTGACAGATCTACAGCCAAGCTGCAGGGACAGCAGAAAAGCCTTTCCAGAGGCAATATGGTACAATTTTTTAACCCAGGGGGCCACTAAAATTCTGCAGTTACTACAAAACAGAAGCTTTTTCTTTAATCGTCTTTCTCTGTGTTTATGTTTAAAAGGTACTGTGTTTTACTGCTTTAAAACTGAATGTTTAAAACACTTAATTTTAGAATAGTCTGTATTGGAAAAGGCACATGCCATCTAGCTATGGCGTGATAGAATTGCCCCTAAAATCTAGTGGTAGGAGCAGAGATTTCCTATAGGATACCATAAGTAAGTCTGGAGTCCCCTGGAAAGTGGATGCTGCTACTTTTGAATTTGAGAATCTCATAGCAGAGATGAGAAAAGCCCTTTTTTTCTATACACTGAAGGCTGCAGTATCTCAAAGTGGGATTCACCTTGCCTAACTTTAGGTATCTACAGTGTAGGAGTCTCTGTCGGAGCTGGTTGCCTTTGTCTCCCGTTAAAGTCAATGGAGAGTAATGGACAATTTTAAGGCACAATTAATGTAAAGTTTTAAAGACATTTACTTTTGGATAAGGTGAACTATGTCCTGGAGACCAGCGACTGTAGTGACCATCAACTATAGAGGGAGTATGCAGAGACACTACAGGTGTGATGTCTGCCTTTAGTGACAAACATCCTGTACTGTCAGGTTTAGGTGGGTAGTAGCAATAATGAGACTTTTTGTATCAGTCTGAAGAATATGTGGTACATCACATATGGATTTTTTTCTTTACCCTGCTCCTTGTTATTCTTAGCTCTGGGCCTCCTTGGGCAGGTTGAGGTTGTTCTCTTGGGCTGTGGGACCAGTTTCCAGTTTGTCAGCTGCTGGGTTTTTTCTCCCTCTATTGTTGTGCTGAGCAAAAATCTGTTTGGGTTTCTGTCGTGGTTTAGCCCCAGCCAGCAACTAAGCACC